TAACAACTGCTATGGGATTAAGATACAGAGCAGCACCACACAGCGGAGGTCACATTTCCCTAGTGATTTAAAGGTTCAATCTTTCTGCAACTTGATTTAGAAACCAACACAAAGTCCACCTTTGTTAGAAAAGAGTATTTTGATAGTATTTCAAAGCATGGCAATTAAATAACTATAGATCACAAATTTAAAATCTAGAGTTCATCACCTAGCAAACTGAGAAATAATTTTTTTTTTTTAATTAACCTCTTGGTTAGATAAGCTTTGCATTCCTGGTGCTAAGTGATAATGCATTTTGCATTAGCACTCGGCATCAGGGATTTCTAACGCTCTGCATCGAGGGGTTAATTAACCCTTTCAAACAGCCAACAGTGCCACCTCATAAGGCTTATGACAGTTCTAAACCAATGACCCTACACTCTACCTTTATTCAAGGGCACAAATATGCTGTTTCTCTATAGCGTTGCTCATGAAAATACAAAACGCCTTCAAAAAGAAGTACAGGGAAGCTCATTTGAGGTCCAGCAGTCTCCTCAACACTCACCATGCCCTGAAAGTATCAGTCAGCTCAATATAAGAAAAAGGGATGAACCAAGAATTGAATGTGGTATTGCATAATCTTGCTGCTGTTAGGTATCTGCATAGAACTTGGTACTGTTTCTGTTCCAAATGAGTTTCAGCATAGATGCTAGATACTGGTTTTTTTCCTGAGACTGCAGGATACATGTCGTCACAGCTCCAATAACGAAAGTATTTATTGTAGTAGTTTCCTGATATACAATATCAATTTACTTTGCCGTCTGTTGTCTAGCAGTGGGTTATTTAGTGAGCTATGACAGTGCAGTGTGCCAGAAAACATCGAAAAGTAAAATATAATGCTCACTTAGCTGATGTTACATACACTTAACAGAGTCAACTTCTGTTATTCTTTCGACAGCAAAAATGCACATCCAGTACGCAGGCAGACAATATATGCATCAGAACCAACCAAACAAGAAAACACAAACACTATGCAGTACGCACCACAGTAAAATAGAACTTTGGATTAAAGAAACTTAACTAATCAGTAATAACCAGTGTGATCTGCATTTCAAATCTCCAGTATATTAACCTACTTTGCTCCAAGTGCCACAGTCATTAAAATGCTGAAGTCAAGAGTTCCAGTTAATACTGAGTAAATCAACAGGACTTTTTTAAAAAGCAATGATTACAAAAATAAAAGCATGATTTCTTGATGGTCTCCCTGAAGCAGAGTCACCTAAATAAAGCTTCAATCCAGGAAAAGCTTAGCAGGAAAACAATCTTTTTTTTTTTTTTGTATGTGTAAAAAAAGACCAGGAACTACAAGTAAATAGCAGCTGAGCAACAGATGAGGCACTAAGTGAAATCTGTTAGCAACTGCTAACAGCTTTGCTATTTTCTGTTGTTAAATTAAAAAAAAAAAGTAAAAAACCAATGCAGTAGCAATTCCAATATGTTCAAAAATCTCAGATGCAAAAGACTAAAGCTCAATGCTTCTTGTACTACAGATAAATACTTGGGTTTGGTTTTAATATCTTGAATTGCTTTATTATTGATTATAAGGCAGAAACAAGTCAATACACATGGACATACAATCAAGATAAAAGTGTTATAGCTGTATACATGACCCAGCAAGTATAGCACAAAACCCCCACCGTAGACAAGTGTGACACTTCCAGCAGCTGCTGTAGCCTGAAGTTCTACTTCCCTTTGTCCTTTACACCTGACTCCTAGTCATTCGCCAGAATCCGCACGTGTCTTTATTAGCACTGACCTTTCTGGCAAGATATCAGAAATATTTTCATTGTCCTTCTGGTCCTGAGGCTTTCACCACAGATAAGCATCTCCTACTTATCTCAACCGAGTCTTGACATGGGTTCAGCAAGTCTGTTTTCCTGTTTGGATGCATCTACACAGCACAGCAGAACTATGCAGGCACAGCTGAAATAGCTCTGAACAAAGCAGCCCACATATGACGACTTGTATGAATTTATCAGTGTGGGTACCATACAACCAGTATGAACGTACCAGCTCTCAGTAGGATCAATTAGTTATGTGGCTGCAGTCACTGGACTAGTTAAAAAAATTCATGCCATCACCCAGTCCCAGGCAGATACATCCTCTTGCCACTCCTGACAGTGGTGCTCTCAACTTCTTTTCTCTTGGGTCTTTCTCTCCTGTCAGTCTAGCAGGGGCTCTGTTAGTTGTTCTTCATTTTGGTGGTCTCCCACATGGGGGATCAGAACAACTACCACCATATCTACAAAAGGCACACTACAGATTTCCTTCTACCATCCAGCTTTCTGCTCCCTTATGGTGTTTACATTTCTAAAGCCTCCTATGGCAGGTTCCTCTTCCAATTTAAACTCAGCATGTCAAAAACAGAGCTCATCTCTGTTTTTAAGTACTTCTCTCTCCTTCTTTCTCTTAAGCTAAGAAGAATTAGTAGTCACCTTGCTTGCTGCAGAAGCTCACAACTTTGTCGTCTTCGGCTTCTCTCTTTCCTTCCACAGATGTTCTACCAGTAACACATGCCAGTTTCATCTCCACAATGTCATATAAAATCTGGCTGTTTCTTTCCATCCATGCTGCTAAAATACTTGATCATTCAAACCTTCTTACTGCAGTCTCCTCCTCCATAGCCCTCCTGACACTCACTCCTCACTCTTCACATCAGTGCAAAACTCCAGTTTGAAAAATGCCTCGATTCTAGTATTTAGTCAGTATTTGACCCTTGCAAAGTTCCTCCATTAGTTTCTTATTACTTCTTTTTAAAACATTCAGATAAATTTGTTTTCCATGTCATCCACAGCAGTTTCTCCCTGAAAAAAATACGAGCCTGGTTTTGCTTATCTTAAGCAGGACATATGGTCCCCAATTCTTCTGTAAACTCACACCGTTTGCTCTTGTTCAGTCTTTACAGGTCATCACCCTTCTTTCACTTTTATCAGGCTGGGATATTTATTAGGCTGGGATTCCCTAGGACTCTTGCCTTCTCAGGATGGAATTTCTTTTCAAGAACAATTTTATAAATTCTAGGAAGAAACACTGATGAGGACACAGAACCTCTAAAATCCTCCCAGCTGAACTGGTAGCTCTTAAAACAACTCCTCCTCTGTTCATTATAACCTTTGTAGAGATTTTCAATGGTGTGGGATAGAAATTCCCACTCTGTGCTGCCATACAGATAAATAAATATTATTAACTATTACTGTCTGCTAGGAAGACTATCAATCTAAATGAAAAGCAAGCTTATGAAAAGAACAGATGTATAAAGCTCGAGCACAACCAAAATGTGAAATACATTCTGAAAAATGGAATCACTAAGAATGGTAACCTATTGTTCCCAGCCTTGCATATTGATCATTATCATTATATTTTGTCAACTATAATTGCTTGTTTTGGATTCTGATGTCATCCCATGTTCCTTCTGGCTCAGGCATCACACCCCCATAAGACTTTGCACTTCAAACTTCGAATCTGTCAGTGATACATGAAACAGAATACTTATGGTTTCGTCAGACCTCTGTGTCACTCCGCTCCTCTTCACACCAAAGAGTTAAAAAGAATGAAAATAGACATAAAGCTTAAGATACACAAGAGAGTTGATGAAGTCACCCTCCTAATTATTCAGTGTTTTGACTACTGTTCCATGTTAAGCCCTATTTCTTAAACAGTATGAACACAAATGCACGTGCAACGCACAGGTGTATGTGCCTCCTCAGCATTCCTAAAGAGCCCCATTTGAATGCAGACTGGTGTACCCACGCACCTTCATCTTACGAACACTAACAACTGCTGAAATCATGCAAATTTGGCACATAAGCATCCCTGTATATTTTTGACAATACTTCTACAGTGTTCAAAAGTTGATAGGACAATTTTGAGGATTCCTAATGACGATACATGGAAGAAAGTCAGCTAAAACCTTCCAAGTCAATACAAGACAAGCCATTTGACTCCATGACATATCAACAGAAAGCTGCAATATGAATTCACATATCACTGTCCCAATGAATTTTAAGTCATTGTAAGTGAATAATCTTGCAGCTGAATTTCTTAGATTACCAGTTAAAGGCATCTTTGCTTAAACAATGATTGTAGCTTGTGTATGCACCTGGCTTGTCTACAATACGGCATGCCAAGAGACACTAATAGTATCCCAAAGCTAACATTAAGTGTTCAGTGCCACAAGTAACCACAGTCATACAGTCTAATCTCCTCCAGGTGATCATTAAATTTTAGTCACATACCCTATAATTAATTGCAAAGATCTACTTTAATGGAAACACTTTAATTCTCAATAGGGGAAACAGGTACCAGAGGCAGGGGTGATGGCAACCAGAGTGCCCACAGCACCAAAGGCTCCAGCAATAGCAAGCAAAAGGCCTGAAGAACTTTGTCGAATCTCTGATGATTCCAGAGATGAAAAACCAGCCAATAGTCACAGAAGAAATCCAAACACTTGCATGCTGGGCAGGGAGGATGGTGGGCTTTTGACCACTGCAGGCAATGGCTGAAGCTGTGAAGCAAAGATTTGACCATAGCTAGTGGTTTTCAGTAACTGCAAATATTACTAGACTGTTTACTTACAGTAACACAAGCAATCCTGCTCTCCCCAAAGCTTGTGAAGGAAGCAGATAAGCATGGGAAAAGAAGGTGAAGGTCTGAGCGTGGGAGTGGGTCATGTATTACTCAGAAATATTCCCCGCAAAGCCTCCCTCACTGACACAAGCTTGAAACCTTGAATCTTTTCTGACATATGGGAATGAATTTCAAAGGCACAAAAAGACATTTTGTCTGCCAAATGTCTTCCGCCTCAGCTACAAGTTTGGTGTAAAAGTATAAACTGCTTTCTTTTTAAATAACATAAACATTATTTTCAGTCCAAGTGAAATAATTTTTCCACTACTTTATGAGAGTATCAGTTATTTCCTATGTTATAATGAGAGGCTGTTTTGCTTTTTAAAATGCCGTACCTCAACATGACACCAAAGCCTTTCTTCTTTTTCTTTCCTGGATCTTCATTTTCTTCCTTCCTTTTCTTCTCTTTGATTTTAGATTTGCCCTTTTCCTTTTTCTTCTCTTTCTCTCTATTTTTTTTGTCTTTTTTTGTTTTGGTTTCTGCATCTTCTATTTCAGGGTTCCCTGGAGGGGTAGATTCCATGTTCTGAGCTTCTTGACCAGAGTGAGAGCTCTTATCAGAGAAACCATCTGCACAGAATGAGAAAGAAGCAGTGAGGATGGCTAGTGGCCACCAAAATGCAAACACATGAAATACAGCCTGAGTGTCTACAAAGGGCTCAAATGACTCACAACACTTACTCATTTAATTGAATAATTTAAAAAGCAGACTAAATGTATCTAGTGAATTCAAGCAGATTTCTATTGTAAATTAAATACAGTTATTTTAATGACTTGTTTTGTAGTTATTATTCCTGATACAAAAACCCTGACATGGTAAAACACTATTCTATTTGAAATCTACCTTGTTAACCTTCATCAGCTCCAGAAAACTGACATGCTGGAATGCAAACACTGAGAGCTTACTTCAACAAGAGATTCTGGCGACTCAACGTAACCAACCTGCATAACAAAACAGTTTCATTCACTCCCCAGCATCTTTCTATTTTAACAGCTGAAAAAGAAATAGATAAACTGTTCTGTCTGGTTGGAGAAGAGCTGTGTTGTTTCTATTTAGGGGGGGGCTCAGCATCCAAGCACAGTTTTATGCTTCATGCTAAAGGAGACCTATTTCCAGAGTGGGGTCTACAAGCCCATGGTGACAGAATGAGCAGCAGGGTGCTATCAATACACTCTGCCTTGTCTATAACAGGAAACAAATTTCCTGGTTGGAGAAGGGGGAACTTTAGACAGCTCTGTAAAACAAGCAGGATAATTTTTAATGTAATCTGAAGAAGGCAGCTGCTTCTTGAAGTTGAAAAATACAATTACTTAAGGATTGAGTTCTAAACCTCCAACCCACCCCTGCCCCAAAGTAGATCAGTGAAAGACTTTACACTAAACCCAGTCAAGGTTGGATGGAGTACTGCAAAGACAGCTCTATTCAGTGGAAGACATGAGTAGCTTTTAAACTGTGATCAACTTCAGTTGGACTAAATCACTTGCTTATGTGCTTTATTGAGTTGGCCCTCAGCAGCACTAAGTGAAGGCGGCTCCCTCAGTAAGTGCCATTAGCAACATACCCTCTTCTCCGTCTTCAGGTCCATCATAAGACTTGTCGATGGCAGCTCTGAAACTCTCATTACATCCCCGACCACGGACCACGTGAGGCCTCGGCCTGTGAAAAGGGAGTTCGTTCTTCCTAACTTCAGCCACAGCAGTCTGAAGACTCTCAAGAGAGCTAGACTTCTTCAATCCCAGAGTAGGACCGAAATCCTTGCCAGAAGAGTCTGAAAAACAAATAGTTACGGTTTTATACATAAAACCACACAGAGAAATGAAACTAGTCAGACATACTTTTAATGGTGTACTTTATTACTTGGGGCCTTTGAAATAGCATGCAATCAATGTAATTTGTTCTAAAAATAACCTCAAGTTAAACCTAGTTCAGTAGATATCCCCGTTCAGACTCAGGGGCAATGGCACATAATTTACAGACCTGACAACAGTGATGGGCAATGGCTGGCTCACTTTGTGCCGCTTTAAAGACTGCACCAGTGATAAGGATGGGGTTGCTTCTTCCCCCTTTGACAGTGATGTCTGCCTGGACACTGCTAACAGTCTCAGGGAAACCATTATCCTTAGACTCACGAACACTGCTACACAACAAGTGTTTTGGTTTTTAGAATTAGGTTGTATGAATGGTTGGTATTTTCAAATACGTTTCTCCTGTGAGAAGACATTATTAGGTGTGTCTCAGTCTTACCCAATCACCTTTCTCTTCAAGCTGAAACTGGTGCTATGGTATCAACATACACAGCAGGTCTTCCAAGAAACAAATATATCCAGCAAAGTACAGCTTAACATAGATGATGTTGCTGCCTCTTTCCTTGTTTATAGGCGTAAGAAAGCACTTCATACAGAAAAAAGTAAATACCTTCCCAAGTCTCCCAAACCTTTCCTCTCTGAATGCTTGACTATCTGACCTTAGAAAGGCTTTATTTTGCAGCAGCATGAGTGTTAATAAGTATTAATACAATGACAGAAGAATAGGTAAAGAAAAAAGTTCAATGAACACATGCATACCAATCAATGAAGAAATTCACAGCTTAATTTAAAAGCCTTTGTAGCATCTACTTGGTTTTTATATGGCAGAACAGTAAATTTGACACGCAGAAACCGAGGAAGAGACTTTGTCTTGCAATACGCCTTCTGCCTTTGAGAACACAAATGCTTCTGTTTTCCACTTCTAAGTAATACTAGTGCAAGCAACGGGACAATATAAGAACAGAAAACCTTCACATACATGTCCATATACTGTCATGCCTGAAGAGATTCAAGGATCACAGAAAAGACAGATATGTTAGTAGCATATGCTGTGATTTTAAGCAATCCTAGAGTACAGGTATTTCTGAACTAAACCAGTGTGATAAGTGAATTATTGAAAGGAAAAAACCTAAGAATTGGCACCAAATACAGACTTATCAGTGATGTCTACATAAAGCAATTTATACTTCCATTACCTGCAGACTGATATGTAGCTGAAAAAAAAAAAGGGGGGGGGGGAAGCGGGGTGTGCATGGAGACAAGTTTAAGGGGAAGCCTGATTGCTCCCTCACACAGTGCAACCTTCTTTTGTTCACTAATTGCCATTCTGGAGAATACCATTATTGCCAAATTAGCAAGTGCTAAAATGGAGTTAGAGCAACGACTTGCATACAACACAAAGCTGCTTAAAATCATTAAAAACTTGCGCATTAGTAAGAGGTACTGCAGTGCCTATCACAGGCAGAGAAGGAACAAAACCAAGGGAAGCATAATCACTGTAAAAAGCAGCAAGCGAAAGCCACTCTGATCAGCAAAGAAAAAGCTTTCTTGTTTTTCAGTCAGCCAACAGCTCTGATGGGTTGCTTTCGCAGAAGACAGGGCACAGTGGTAAATCTCAGAGAGCTGTCTGGCTGCAGCGACCCAGGGAAAGCGCAGCCAAGGGCTGCCTGGGCAGAGGTAGGGGGAGGGCAGCCAGGGGGCACCGCTCCCCACAC